AGTTTGAAGGGAAGGGCTGGGGTAGCAACAAGGGGCAGGGTATAGGATGAATGTGCCCTATCCCCCTCCCTTAGAGGCTTCCTCTAACCTCCTCTCCTGGAGGGCTGCCCACAGAGAGCCTCTTTCTGAGGGAGGGGTAGCCAAGCCAAATGGGAGAGGCCTTAGCCCTGTCTCATACTGCTTCTGCCCCTTTCTCCTCTTGGGGTTCTATGGGTACCCCTGGAGTACCCGCCCCAGCTCCTAGGGTGTGAACCCCACACCCTACAACCCCACCTGGTGGGTCAATCCCACCACCACCCCATTCCAGCCCTATAAGGCTAAATGAAACCCTCCATGGTGGCTGTGCACCAAAAAGGCCTGAGGGACAATGGCTCCTGGCTAAGAGAGCTGCCCGGGACCCCTCCCCTGGGCAAGAGAACATAGCAAAGAATTCCTGAGTTCAAATCTTAGTGCTGCCAATTTCTTGCTGTGTGATCTTAGACAAGTCACAATCCCTCTCTGGGCCTTAGATTCCTCCACAAGTAAAGCTGGGACCATAAGTTCCCTCTCCAAACGGTTGTGGCAAGGACTAAGTTAGCCAACTCTTATGAAAAGATTTTGTGTAACTTCATGTCCAGTAGTTTGAGAAATTATTTAGTTATTGAGGAGTGGATTTGAGCAGAGGTTGGGTTTGTCTCTGTAACTGAAGACTGGCCAGTGGCCTCAGTGCCTGGAGTCTGCAAGGCCCTGGTGACTCCCCAAGGAGAAAGTGTGGTCCAGGGACTGCCAAGTTGTCCAGAGGTCACTTGGCCTAAAAGTCAACCCCCTCACCCCAACTTTGAGAGGTTTGGTATCCATTCGGTTGTTACAAAAATAAAACTAAAGTTAAATTTAAAGAAGACATTTTTAGGTACATGTTGGGATATGGTTCTTCACAGGCCTCTTGCTTTTCTGCACGTCTTGCATGCAGCGGCACTGACGTTCTTTGTTCCAGGCCATCTGGTTGTACAAGGAGCAGCCCTGGAACACAGAGACAATGTTTCCTTCCAGAGCAGGGACGGTGTGCTCAGTGTCCATTATAAAAGATTTGGATCCTCTAAGTGGGGTCGCCTCTCTTGAAAAACACCCTACTGTGTGTGCAGGTGTTCTCTGGCCCTCACTGTATCACCCCATGGGAACTGGGGTGGGAGAGTCAGGGCAAGAAGATGTAGATACTCTGGCTGCTGTGAGTAATAACATCCTTTGTTTCTGACCCAGGAGGCTTGTGTCTTCTGCTAGCATCCATGAAACTGACAGGGGAACTTGTTGGCTTACATGTAGGGTAGTAGCTCAGTACACTTCACAGTCCTTGACACCAAAAAAGCAAAACAGACACCCACATATTTGGAAGAAATTATAAAATAAAAAGATACTCTCAAAAGGACCAAATTATCTGGTCCATTACAAAAAGAAAGTCAGGAGAGCAAGGTGGTTTAGAGCACATGCTTTGGACACATTAGGACCAGGGTTCAAATCCCAGCCCCACCAAGGACCGAGTTGAGCATGGTATGAATGGCGCGGAGGTGCCTGGCTGGCTGTGGGGACTGCCATCCAGCCTGCACATGCCTATTCAAGTCGTGGGTCCCTGGCATGGGGTTGTGTCTCTCAGGGGTGGTGCTTCTTTCTAATCTGCCTATGGTGTTGGGGGGTGGTGCAAGCACAAAATTCACATAAAAGTATGGTATATAAAAAAGCATGTCATTAAGTGAGAGCTTGGGCCTGTGACCTAACTCCTCCAGACCTCAGTTTTCTTGCCTATAAAATGAGGACAAAGATTCCATATTTCACAGAATGGTTTAAGAATTTAGGTAGGGCNGCACCACTCGGCCAGCCCCAAAAGACCTTTTTTAATTCATGGAATTATCACTTAGTGAACAGAAGCAAAGCTCAGAGAATGCAAAACAGGAGATAATTTAAAAATAATTTCTTGGGCCACCCGAGTGTCTCGTTGGTTAAGAGTTGCCTTTGGGAGCATGAGCTCTGAGCAGCAGGGCCGCCGGTTTGGATCTCACATGAGGGCCAGTGACGCTGCGCCCTCTACAGCTAAGATGGTGAACAACAGCTCGACCTGGAGCTGGGCTGCCGTGAGTTGCCAGCAACGGCATAGGCTGTAGTGGGCTGCCATAAGCTACCATGAGTAGCCAGCAGCCAGCATGAGCTGCCGTCCAATGGCCGGCGACCGATCTGCCTCACTCAGGAAGAGTACAATGACCACAATACCAACATGGGCCAGTGAATCGATGTCTTCCACAACTAGACCAAAGAACCAAAGGACAGCAGCTTATCTGTTCCGCTTCCCCAATTCCTCAGTGCTGTTCCCTCTCCCAATTCCCCCAATAAATCTTTGGGGGAAAAAAAATCATTTCTTTGTGGCTGTGGAAATAGTTTCTGATTCCCACCGATTCTCCAGTGCAGCGGATAGACCCTCCAGACCGTCTGGCTCCTAGTTATGTGAAGTGAGTTAACATTTCCTAAGGTTGCAAAAGGAAAGGTAAAAGGATAACTGCAGAGCTGGCAACAGGAGAGCCTGGCATGTGCTAAGTGCACAAGAAATGCTGGTGCACAGTAGAAATTCAACAACTATTACCTTTCTCCCATGCTGGCATGGGCCTGGTACATAGATGCTCACCAAACGCTTTTTGAATAATTAAAGCCACCCTGACCCCCAACTTTGGTAAGGGGTTAGTAAGGGGTTAATCTCCCACCCTGGGTCACAGGATGCCCAGGTGCCCCCTCCCTCTGGAAAGGAAGCTGGGAAAGGAAGACCCCACGCCCGCTCCTGGCAGCTGCATGTCCCAGGCTCCCAGCAGCCCAGCAGAGGCCGGATGCAGGAAACAGGCGGAGGCCAGGCTGTGCCAGCAGAGATACAAACTTTGAACCAGCCGCCTGGACCCCTGCGCTCGCCCACCTCTGTCCCTGTCTTCGGGGGGCGGTCCTGGCTGCCTGCCCAGCCCTCCAGCACAGCTGCCCTGACCAGAAGACACTCAGCACCTCCGCCTCCACTGTATGTGGGTACTGGGATGGCTATGCTGCCTCGAGCCTGGCCCCAGAGGGTTGACCAGTCCTGCACCATGCTGCACTACCCCAGGGTGGCACCACTCACGTGGTATTTGTGTAAATGGTGTCCCTGGCATTGTGCAATGTGTGGGTCCTGGTCTTGGTGAACTGAGGGCAACTGCAAGTTCCAGCCCCCTCCCCCACCCCCCTTCATAAAACCAGCAGGTGCCTCAGTTTCTGCACCCAGCCTTCCGGCTTCCTGCAGGCCCTCAAGCCCCCGTGAGACTTCCTCCTCACAATCTGGATCCTGTGGACTGCATCTCCCTCTCCCAGCTCCCTGCTCGAGTCCAGCTTTCAATGGCCACCAGTGTCAAGACAGACTTGCCCAGGCCCCTTCGGACACTGCCCTTGGCCCCCAGCAATCTATCAGCCTGGCCTCGGGCTCAAGCTCTGCCCTTACCTCTTCCAGCGTGTTCATCTGGGAGGCCACCTTGTGGACGTAGGCATGCACTTTCATCAGGTCCATGCTGTACAAGGCGCCCTCCAGGAGATCCACCATGGACTGCAGCTGCCCGAGGAAGGGTGAGGTTAGGGAAAGGGCAGAGCACAGGGCACAGCACAAAGGGTGCAAAACCCCAGAACCCCAGAGCCTCAGAATGGCCTGCCTGGGCCCTCAGCACCCACTAGACCCAGGATGCTAATAATCACAAGAAAAGCAAAAGAGTCCATCTTTTGAGCACTTATGGCCATCTTTTGAGCACTTACCACGTGGCAGGTACTGTACTAGGGGCTTTAATGAGCTACTTAATTCTCACAACAATCCTACTAGGTGTGTGGGGGACACCAGAGGAGCTTCATCTATACCCCGTGGGGGTCCTTCCTACCGTTTCTTGTGCCCATCACTGGCTTTCACGTACCTCTCTATAAAGCCTACATCTGTGACTCTCTTCAAAAAGCCACTTTGTCCCCAAAGTGCCTGGAAGTGTATGTCCTCCTGGGGTCGCCCTTAGGCAATGTCTGACTGGTGTGGGCATCTAAAAGCCAGCCCCAGTGGGACATCTGAGCTGTCATTCACACGCTAGTGTACCCTGGGGCTGAGGCTAGCACTGGACTTCCTTCCTTCCCTTCTGCCCCCATGTCTCCTACTTGGGTACCAGTTTCTCCTGGGAGCCCTTCTCTAATAAATCACCTGCACAGGAACCCCTTGCTTCAGGGTCTGCTTCTAGGGACCCAACTGAAGACAAGCTTTAAGCACCTTCTCTCTTCATGGTACAGACTGGGAAGCTGCAGTTTAGAGAGGTGAAGTGACTTGCCTAAGGCCACCCAGCTGTTCAGTGGTGGAGTCAGGAGCAGAACCCGGCTTGGTTAAACCCAAACCTCTTTCCTATCATGCTTTACTACTCCTATCTTGTGTTCAGATGGGTAAACTGAGGACAAGAACAGGGGAGGGGCTTGCACAACAGGCCAGTGGCAAAAGCTGGGTCTCCCTTGCGCAGCCCAGGGCCCTTCTTTATAGCTGTCTGTCTTCTGTCCCTCTCTGTCACACCTCATCAGGATATGACATTTCCCTCCAGATGGCTAGGATGCCAGCGAGAGTGTCAGGGATGCGTCGGCACAAGGGGCCGCTTGGGAAATCAGCTTCCCCTGGCTTCTCGGGTCCACCCTCCAGCATGGTTCTATCCCTAGCGCTCCTGTCTGGCCCTGGCCCGCTGTTTCCAAAACAGTTTTACTCCCACTCTCCCAAGGTTTGAAGCCAGAGGGCTTTTCTCTGAGTAGATTTTAATCTCTAAAGCAGAAAATGGGGGTGGGGGGCGGCTCTGATGGAAGCAGAGGTAGGGCCTTGAGTCTTCTCTGTTCCCCTACAGCCTTGCTCAGGCCTTAGGTTGCCCATAAGCTCCATAGGGCTCTGTGGAGCATTTTGAGAACCATGCACAGATTCTCCTGTGCCTCAGTTTCCTTCTCTGTGAAATGGGGCAGTAGGGTTGTGGTTAGGAGCAGGAATGTCTGGGCAGGACTCAGCAAGGGCTTCGTGAATATCAGCAATTATGACCACTTACCAGGGGGCTACATGGGAACCTTCCTGCTTCACTCTGCTGACTTCATGGCCACCAAAGCTGGCTTCCCAAAGCACAGCTTTGCCCATGGGTCTCCCCTGCTAGAAACTTCCTGTGGCTCCTCATTGCTCTTGTGTGGCTTCTCCTGTCCTGAGCTTGGCATTTGTGCTGTCCTTGGTGTGCCCCTGCTACCCTCTTCAGCCTCAGCAAATGTTTACTCTGGGCCCAGCACTAAGGACAGTGATGAGTAAGACAGAAACAAGGCATCCTGGTCCTTCACAGTCTGCCAAGGAATGCAGAGAGTAACAGAGAGGTGCCCGGGTTGGGGAGCACAGATGGTAACACACAGGTGGCCAGATCATTCATGATGAGGTGTGACCTTGTCTGGGAGTGGGTGTGGATTAGTAAAGTTGGCCAGGGAAGAAGTCTGGTTTGAGCTGAGCTCTAAGGCAGCAAAGATGGCAGGAGAAAGGCATTCTAGGCCAAGGGAACAGCTTGTGCAAAGAACTGGAGGTGACAAAAAACATGGTGTGTTTGAGCCGTGCTACTTGAAGAGTGGTCTGGACCAGTGCCAGTCCAAACTGCTCCTTACCAGCCCGTGATAAAACAATTATGAAAAGTGAGAGTAGGCTTTCATAGACTTTTAGAGCCATTTGAAAGAGCAATTTTTATATCTGTTGACTCTAATGTTCAAACATGGGACTTGTATTTTGCATGTCTGTTTTTGTTTCATTTTTCTAAGAATTCATTTTTAGAGTATTTTACAAAAGTATTGGTTCTTAGGGCCGGCTGAGTGGCTCAGTTGGTTAAGAGCTC